CAATATTGGTTTAATATTCGTAGAGTAATTCATAATTTTCGTGAAATACAAATGCTTTTTAATAAATTTTATGAATTAGGATGATTGGCGTCGATTTGATTGGGTCGATCGGCTTTCCAACTCTTATTCTTCTAGAGTTCTCATAACCGTGAACTAGTGCAGCTTATTTTACTTGGTATTATCTGCCAGTAACTTGAGCTGGATAATGATTGTTGATTTCAGTTGCTATCCCATTCCAGATAACAGCATGCTCAGTATTCAGAGCATTTTTGAATTTTTCGCAATATTTATTATGAAGATTTATTAAATCTTCCATGACATCGAAAGTCCAAACCATTCCATCCATATTTTAATATTATTAAATTTGTGTTTGAAGAAGTTTAAGTAAGAGAAGACAGAGAAGACAGTGAAAGATTTTTTTGAACAAATTTATTGAATTATATTATGTATATTTATACATTCTCAAATAATACCTTTATTTTCTAAGTTCTTTTATATTGATTCAAATCTTGTTTAAGAAGATTATTAATTTTTTTTTTCGATCACATTAATTAATATAATAATATATATCAAAATTATTGTATTAAGAAAAAATCATTTGAAACAAATATTTCTTTATTATGATTTTTTTTTATTTGATCACATTAATTAAAATGATAATACTGCATAAATTAATTAAATGTATTAACGATAAGAAAAGACATTTAAAACAAATTTATTTCCTATGTTTTTTTTTTAATCACATAAATTAAATTATAATACATCTCGACATTTGAAATACTGTATTTTTATTATTTTTTTTTGATCACATTAAATTAAAATGAAACGAATTTATTTCCTATTATTTTTTTTTGATCACATTAATTAAATAATAATACATCAAATTTTGAAATAATATATTTCTGATTATTATTTTTTTTTTGATCAAAAATGTTCTTTTTCTGGTATTGTAAAATAAGTATAATATTATATGATATCAAAAGGATATACTGTATACATAACATACATAACCATATATACATACATAATTCACCATACCATACTTGTTTTTTCTTGTTCTTTGGACTAATAGATTTATTACTGATATAGAAATTTATTGTTACTGATTAAACGATATATATCATTCGTATTAAATATGATTAAAGGCAAACTAATATATAATTACCCAGGAGCAATTCTTTACATGTATAATTATGAAAACAAAAACTATGTTTTTAATCACATGTACAAATACGTTTCAAAATATTTCAAAATGATGATTTTGTAAAATATAAATATAAATGGTTTGTTCTTCAAATTTTTCAAAACAAAAAATGACTTGTCTTTGAAATTTACAAAATTGCGAAAACTTGATAAATATAAGAGCTTAATACCAAAATAATTTTGAATATGCAAGAAATTCTGATCATGCTGGCTTATAGGAAAGAATTGCAATCAATATTAATGAAATAAATTATAACTAAATATCAGCAAGATAATGCCAAAATAAATGGCATTCATTAATAAAAGGATATAACAGAATCAAAAGAATCTTAAATAGAGATATAAGAGAAGCGAGAAGAATAAGAAATATCACGTCTCCAAATAAATATGACATTCAATTTTATAAATTGATGAGAAGTGAATTCTGGCTTCTGAAAGATAATAACTCATCTTAAATTCTTTATTTGTTTATTTAAATACATATTTATTTATACATTTATATTTAGATTCAATACAAAGAGCTTATTTAAGAAGAAGATATGATAGACATCATTTGAAATATCAAGAACGCAGACATTCTTGAAAACAATCAAGACATTAAATTATCTTATATATTTTTTTTATTTTATTATTATTTTATTTTATATTATTTTTTTAAAATGAAAATAAACTTTCCTTTTTATATGCAATGCAATGCAATGCTTAATATTTATAGCCTTAATGCTTAGATTTCAGTACTTCGCCACGAAGTCAGATTATTTTAGCAATATTAGATCACTGTTGAACTAACGTCGTTGTAAATTTTTTTTAGTTTCTATATCCAAAACAAAACAGTGTAAGATCATCATTGATCAGATTGATTAAATTTATCAAAGTATGCAATTTTTAAAAATTATTATGATACATTCAGTTAAATAACCAGATTAAAAATGGTTAATTATAATTATAGAATTTGTAGATTTTTCACTTTTTAGAATCAGGACCTGAATCATCTTCTCTACATTAGTCATAATTTAATATCAAGAATTCTGTAACCAAGCCTTAGGAAGAATATCTGATGATAAGCAAAAAAAAAGCAGATATAGGAGGTTATACAAAAAAAAAAAATTAATAAAAAAGGTGTATTTTTTTTATTTATTTTTTATATTTTTGTTGTTTAGAATTTGTAATAAAAACTTAAATTTGGTAGTCTTGTACTTTGTCTCTCTCTTCTCTCTCTTTTCTTTCTTCTCTTTATCTCTCTTCTCCTCTGATCTCTCATTTTCTCTCTCTTTCATCTCATCTCTCTCTCATCTCTCTCCTCACAATGGTATTATTAAAAACAATTTTCAATGAAATTATCATTACGTTATTGACTATGAAATCCTTGAATCGTAGGATTGTCTTCAGATATAATGAAGATTTCAAAGATTGATTAAGAAGCCAGAATATTACAGACGTAAGTAATTTTATTTAATGAAATTTCAAATTCATCTATGATTAATGCTGTCCTTTATATTTAAAAAAAAGAATAATAGTTTTAGAAAAATGGTCTTCTATCTGAATTTAACATTGATAAAAGCTTTAAGATTGAGCTGAATGCTTGATCATCCTTTTTGATTCGTAAAAGAATGATAGCTTTAAGAACATTTTTTTAAAACTATTTTTTCTTCTTAATGATCTCCTATCTGAATTTAACATTGATAAAAGCTTTAAGATTGAGTTGTATGCATAATCATACTTTTAATTCGTAAAAGAATGATAGCTTTAAGATATTTGTTTTAACTTTTCTTTTAATAATATATTCTATTACATAATACAAATCTAATAATTTATTTTTTAAAATAATTATCTTAAAGAATGATCCTATCTCTGTGTTCCTATGACTTCTATAAATGTGTCACTAAAAAGATAAAGTCAAATTGTTGGATGATTAGAATAATAGATTTAAGGTTTCAATGACTGACCTCTAATATAATATTGAAAGGAGCTCAACTAAGTTAATTAATGTTAGTCATAATTTAGATCTAATTCCAAAGTATAAAAAATAATTTATATCTTTTTCTGAATTGTCTCAAGACCTTAAAATAATTAAAAAAATTAATTGGTCATTTTTTTATATAATGATAGGGTTGTGGGTGAGGTAGTAAGAGATGTAGCAATAACAAAGGTTTCAAATTTTTTGGGTAATAAGATCAAGTCAACAGTGGATAACCACTATAACATTGTTTATGGAAAAGAACATGGAAGTTCTGGGAAGTTAGTTGGTCATGGTTAAAGATGGGAACTGTAATTAATATGTTGCAACTTTTAATGTTGCAACTTATGTTGCAATTAGTTTTAACCTAT